ACCACACTGGAGATCATGATGAACGTTTGGCTGAACCTCATCACTCGAACTCCAGCTTCAAGAATGTGTTTTCATGCCCGGCCTTTGTTCCTCCATAAATGTGTCCTTTAGTTTCAAACAGATCTTTATAGTTCGTGCTTCATAAGCCAATTCTTCTTATTTTTGGGGGACTCTTCTTCAAAGAGCTTGCAAATGAAGATTTAAACACAGAGCAGGAGCTTCTTTTCCAGGAGTTCTGAGTCTTGGTTGTGGACAAAACAATCTTAAGTTGGGCAGCTTTCCTCAACACAAAAAAGTTATTAATGGTCATTGAACCATAACTAGGACTTTATCAGAAACTCAAAGCTTGGGGGATAAAAAGGAGCAAGAGAATACTGTAACAAACTTCGTACAGAGTTCGGTCTATTAATTGTTTCATGTTAGATATTCTATGTGTTTACCTCAATTGAAAAAAAAGAATGTTTTTGCTAGTATCAGATCTGCTGTGGAATTGGTATTGTATGTCCATGAATTCTTCTTTTCTCAGCACGTGTTCCTCACTAGAAGAAAATGCTGTTACCTTTAAGCTTTGTCAAATTTACATTAAAATACTTGTATGAGGACTGTGACGTTATGTTAAAAAAAAAAAAAGGTGTTAAGTCACAAAATGCGGTAATAAATATTTCATTTTTGATTTTTTGTTAGGCTTTTGCGTTTTTAATGGTTTTAGGACAAGGTTGCACAATGCCGACTCTATACAGTGTTAAAGGCAGGTGACAGCTTTTCCCCCCAGCGATTGAGTATATTTTAAACTTATCAGTAATCTTTAAGGTAATCATCTATAGCCTTTCAATGTCTGTTGGGCCTATACATGCCACCAGCAGATAGCTTCTGAAGGTACAAAACTATGTGTACGTGATGAGCCAGGTTGAAAGATCCCCTTGAACATGCCAACCTCCTTTTTAGATGCATGACGTTAAAAAATATATACTTTCAGATAAAGCTTTTCATGGTCATCCTCTGCCAGAATAAAGGACTTTTCAGGGTTAAGTTTACAACATAAGAAATAATGTCTGTGCTCAAAGGTAATTTATCTGCCTTTGTTTTTCATCTGTGGTCTTACTACAATATTGTTGGATATGTAAATGAAAATTTACATATGGGTGTTCATAGATAAGTAAACAACTTCTATGGAGTTTGAAATTCTGACTTTAAAAGATTAATCATTCATATTTTATCAATTATACTGTGGTATATTTTTATTTCAGACACATCCATGTGCAGGGATGCTAGTGTGATGATTTGATAACTAAACGTACATATTTCTCTGAAAAGAAAACAAATGGATGGTATAATGCCATTTTCAAAATTTTATGCAACATGCCTGGAAGTCTGTATCATTAGCTTATTGATGCTGCACAGTGTTTGCTAAAGTGTGCGAAAAGGGTGAGGTATTTGCATGTCCCCTCAATTTTCAAATAAATATACTATCCTGGAATTTTGTAACTCTTAAATTTGGAATCTTTGTTTAGAAAGAATGAACGTTAGCTAGATACGTGATGTCAGCCGGATAGGGAAACAATTCACTATCTCTGCAAACTTAAACTTGGAAGAAATCCATAGTTACATCTTATTTGGGGCTCTTCCATCTTTCCATTTCAGACAGCATTTCTGGAAGTTCTATATAAATGAACAAGGAAATAAACTTCTGTTGTTTTGTATTTTAGTTAGGTAGAATTTTTATAAATACGTTTATCAGTTCCAGTGATGTGTTGCCATTTAAACATAGCAATAATGCTTCTGACGCAAACTAACTTAACAGAGAAATTTTATGCCACTTGGAAAAGACAACTAGCGTCCCTTTCATTTTTGCTATTCTATTTTACATGAAGTCTTTTTGTAAATTTTAAATATTTGCTGATTTTTACTTTAAATGCTTTTATGTAAACTGAAAATTCGCCATTATAAATCAACTGTCACATCAGCTGGGGGAAAAAGAACTTTTTTCTTTCAGTAAATGCTGAAGGGTTTACTTGGTAATTGGCTCATGTTTAGGATGTCTTTTATGAAATTATTAAGTTATCTCATTGAAGTTTAGAGCCCAGAGCTTTCAATCCTTGGTTTTAATGAATAAAGTCATCTCATGCTTACTTGCTTCACCAAACCCACATCCTATCCTGTTAACTTTAACCCTCTTAAACATTTGAAGATGAATGATAATTGTAATATTGGTTTGCATTACCTTGCTCTCCCCCACCCCCAACCCCATGCTAAGAAAGAGAAGTGATAGATTTGTCCAATTTTTATAATGCTTTTTTTACACCACCCCGGAAGGCACTTGCTCCTATCTCGGGTTTACTATTTAGTGTAAAGAGTTCCGATTTGGGTATATTTAAGAAAGACTCAGCTGTCAAAAGCAAAGAAACTGGGAATGGTGTTTTGACAACCATATAGTGTTAAAGGAAATACTGTAGTCTGAATAAAATTGCTTATGTTCTCCAAAACAAGAGTAATATAAAAACACTTTTTTATTTATATGAAAAAGCAAAAGCAGAAATAAATTCCAAAGGTTTCCCTTTCTTTAAGAAATTCTGAGAGAACTGCAGTCGCCATCTGTTAAGGGTTGGGAATTGAGCAAGAAGCCACATTTTAAACGAAAAAGAAAAGACCAGGAAAGTCTGTGTCTTCCGTCCACCCCTCCTCTCTCCCACCCCCTAGGTCAGCACCCCTCATGCCTCCCACCCTCGTTGGAGTCCACCAAGACCCTCCTGCCTCCTCACCCCCTCCCACCCCCGCGGGACTGTTAACCCAGAGCAGATTTGGGAAGGGAAATGTGGCTAATATCTCTAGCAGCTGTCAAAGGAGGGACCTTCCTTCAAAGGGACTGGACAGGGATCCTCCACAAGTTCCCCATTAGTCTAGCAGGCCAGCAATTTGATAAGGAGCTTGGACTCCGGCTACAAGTTGCTACTCTGTTAGAAAGTCCGGTGTCCGGGTGTCTGGATGTGCAGAGTGGGCGTCGAGGCTGCAGCCCCCGCCTCCCACCCAGCGGGGTTGGTGCGGACGTGCGTCCTGGAGCCTGGGAGGAGGCAGGACAGAGGCTTGGGCCGCTTGGCAGACTGGGGTGCAGAGGGCTACCCCGGCCCTCACCTGGCCTTCCCTGGGAGTGTGTGTTAGAGTTAGACCAACGTGTTGCAAACTATGGGGGCAGCAGGGGGCCCGTCCCGGTTACAGTTGAAGTCATCCACTCAGGGCGTCGCGCACCCAGGCGGGCCCCCTCCTTCCGGGCCCAGGCTGGGAGAAGGTGCCGCGCGGGGGAAATGGTGGTCTGATGGGGGAGGCCGGTCAGATTGTGATGAGAATGGAGACCGTCGGGGCAGTGTTTGAAGGGAGGTTTTAATATTAATAGTTTCGGTGTAGAGACAGAAGGGAGATTGCGTCTACGGCTCCTCCGGGCAGACTCTGGGTGACAGGGATGATGGATGATCCGGCAGAGCCCAACAACTCCTCCCCCCAGCCCCAACAGTGTCAAAGCTACTTTAGCCGAAGCTTTAGAAATAAAATAAATAAACAGCATCATCACCCCCCTACTCTTAGAACACCTCCACCCTCACCCCCCGCTTTCCAACATCGATTTATGGATCATTATGAATCAATTACTGCTCTCAATACCTTCCCATTGGCTTAAATAAAAACAGTCGAAAGATGAAAACGTGGGGTTCTGTGGAGATTTTTTTCCCTGACAAGAACAATCGCAAAATCCATTATCTCATAATCAGAGGCGCTGGGTGAGGAGGTGAAGAGAAAGGACCGGGTCACCCAGTAAATAACTGGGGGGAACGCAGAAAGGGGGGTGTCACCCAGATGCTGCCTTTGTTTTCTTGCAGATGGGTTTGGTTGGTTTGTTGTTTGTTGGGCTTTGGGGAGCGGGGTAAACTAGCGTGAGAATTAGATGCCTGCAAGTTTTGTGACCTAATTATTTAACTCCTTTGGAGAGACCCCTTTGAATGTGCGTCTCGGCAAACATCAGATGTTGTTGGTAGTGAGGTCACACATGGGAAAAGGTGTGGAGGAATGGGTCCGTCTGGAGGGCGGATTTTCACTTTGTTGTGAGCAACTGTGCGCGGGAGGGTTGGCCGCCGGGTGGGGAGATCGTCCCTCTCCCCTCGCCCCCCGCCGCTGGCTGTTTTTGTCGTTGGAACTGGTTTGGATCTGGGGCTGGCCGTCCCCTTTCGCCCCCACCCCCTCCTCGGCCGCCCGAGGCTTTTCTTCCCTCTCCTGCCTCTTCCGCGGCGGGGCTCGAGGTTCTCTAGGTGTTTCTATGACTACATTGTGTGTGTGGGAGGGTCAGACGTGGGGGTTGCCCGCGAGAGGGCCGTTCCTGGGCGATCATTTATCAATGTCACCCACATAATGATTCTCTCTGCAGCCTCCTATTGATGAGGATAATTACATTAGCTCAGAGTGACTGATCAATGAAAAACCACCACACAAAAACTTCTTTACTCCTCTATAATACCAAAAACCGATACAGAAATAACATAGAAAGCCTGATTTTCTTTCCCTTCCCTGTCCACCAATGGATTCTGGACCCTCTGCCTTTCCCCTACTCCCCACCCCAAAAAAAGGACGGAGGAGTAAAGTAAGAAAATAGACCCAGGTTTGTTTCGTTTAAAGGAGGATGCAATTCTGTCCGTGAATGCATTCTTTCTAAATGTTGGCTTCATCCCTCCTTTGGTAGAGAATATCAACGGATTGGCTAATGTGAGTTGCTTTTAGACTAGTCTGTGATTTTCCTTTCTTTTTTATTTCTTTCTTCCCTTTTGGGTATTTTTTTTTTCCTGCTTCAAGAAAGGAGATAATTCTTTTTACAAATATCTGGTAAAAGAAATGACTCTAGGTCTTCTTTTTAAAAAGCGTTTGGCTAAGTCGGGTTATCTTTTGTCTTTATCACTTCATAAAGTAGCGCAATTAAAGATGTGGTGTTGCATGGGCATAAAGGGTGAATCCATTATACGGCGACATAATACGCTACATTCTCGCCTGAAAGTTTGAAGCTAAATTACGATTTCGCTTTTTCTAGACTTAAAAATCAATATTTTCTCAATTAAAGCGAATTTTAATGCTTTACTTGCGAGTTGTTAAAGGCGCTGTAAATTTTATTGTAATGCTTCCTGACTTCGGAGTAGATGCAGGAGACGGGTTGATTCTCGTGGTCTTTTTCCTCTCGAGAAAACTAGCCCAGGAACATCCTATGGTTTCATATCAAAGTGAAGCAACAAAGGTAAGAAGGGTTCTGAGAGGGACGGGGCAAAAGAGCCCCGCCAAGGAAGCCCACCAGCGCCAGAGGCCATTGTCTTGTCTATTTTCACCTCTCTATGTCCGGCCTCCTGAAAGTGACAGAGGTGTCCATTTTACTCTCATCTTTCTCAGAGGGGAGCACGTTCGACTCACATGTGCTCTTTAATGGTCAGAAAAGGAGCTGCATTTGGGGAGCATTCTAAACTCCTCCCAGTGTCCCCCTTTTCTCTTCCCTTTCCATATTTAACCAAATGGTAACTTGGAACTGGCTCGTTCACAAATTTGGCCGTATTTAATGTGTTCTGGCCTATTAGAAATTATTCCGCACCCTCAGGAGCATGCACTGTTTACAGATGTTTTCTCCTTCCACAAGTCCCACCTAGTAAAAGTTCCCGCAGAGAATTAACTGTGGTGTGTTAATAGCCCAGGTCTGCTACTGCTCTCTCCTGCAAAGATGAAATCTGGTAACTGGGAATATGACATTGAACTAACGCTGGGGAGCTGCTCAAGGCCAGCAGAAACCCAAAGGCTTGAGAATTCTAAGGCCCAGTGCCTTGATGGGAAATAAGGTAGTGAAACTTTCAGAAAGTAAGGCATCAAGGAGAAGAAAATGAGGCCAGGAGGGAACATAATGAGAGAAGAATAGGACAAGGCAGAAAAATGAGCCTTGGGGACCTCTTTATAATTTAAAAAGAAATAATAATGAAGGGAAATTGAATATCTAAGTCTTGCTATTACATTTTTTTGAAGCCAATATCCGTTTAAGAATAAATTCTCAGAGATGCCAGGAAGGGCCTGAGTTTCCAAATGGGACTACTCACAAAGTTTCTTTTGCAGTTCCCTCTTCTGTTAATTTGCTGGGAATGAGAAGAGGAGGGCACAGGCGATGTGTGTGGTGCACAAGGGCTTAAGTAAGAGTATGATGGGAAGGGGCACCTAGATATAATGAGGCTGCTGTTTTAAGCTGAAAAGAAAAGAGGAGAAGAAAGAACAAGCCACACAACACCACAATACACTTTAAAATAATTCTCACCCACCTGCCTGCCTTTTTCTCTAACCCCACGCTATATTGAATAGTATACATAGGTGGGGGAAATTTCTAGTTCATCATCTTCTGTCTGTAGACCCACCGACAGAGCCCCCTTCCCTTAGATTCCTGACATGTAAGCCTAGACCATGGCCTTTTTATCAAGTGAGTGGGGCTTTGTTAATGTATTTGTACTTTTCTGCTTTCAGTCTAAGTTTCTCGCTTTGGAGGAGGGAGGAGATGCAAGAAAGGAGGGGGAGGGGAGCAGAACACAAAGACTTTATCTAGTTCTCACCAAGCAGGTTTCAAAATAGGAACTTAATGGGGAGAAAGACGGAATTAGAAAAAGAAAATAAGAGGGGCGTGAGAATTGTTTATTACAAGTTTACTTGTCTGAAAGAGAGGTGATTCTGTGAATATTTTTCCCTTTGAGGATTCTGTTTTCCTTTTATTGAAACATTTTCAAATTTTAATCCTTTAGCAGACAAAACCTCAATATAAATATGACATGGGCCACTGGCAAAAAAACGAACTTAAACTCAATGCTTAGAGGGGAGGAGGTGTGGGGAGGAGAGAGCCCTTTCTGATTAATAACTAGCAGGGTAATGTTGAGGGCTTTTTCTGCCCGATTGCCTTTTTGAATTAGAGCCGATTTCTTCACACTTCAATAGTGCCTGTCTCCTTTAAAATGACTGGCAGATTTGTTTCTCTTTTTTTTCTCTCCCTGAGACTTAATGATGTAAATTTTCTAATTAGTTAAATCATATTGCTTAAAGGCCTAATATTTACCACGTAAGAGACGATCATCCTGATTTGGACTTCTTGAAATATTCTAAGAAATAACATTTGGCTTTTAGGTTGAGGGATGAAGAGGAGAAAGCTCTATTACGGGAAGCCGTTTAGAGAAGAGAAGGTACGAACCCGGCAACATGTTAAATTAATAGTTGAAGTTGAGCTGGGCTCACACCCCAAGTCCGCTTTTATTTTTCAATCAGTGAAGATTTAATTGGCAGCCCTCAGGCTGGGCGATCTGATATTTTCTCATTAGTTTCCCATCACTAATCTTGAGTGTTAGATTGGCCTAAAGGTTGTCAACATTTGACCAATTTTATTTAAGGGGAAAAAAATCATGCATTATGGCTCCTGGACGTGAGATCTGCGAATAAATCCTGCTTGGATCAGCGGAACTAACAGGCGAAAAAAATGTTGACTATTCATCGTCGCATTTAAGAAGTTGCATTAATGTATATTTCAAGGCTAGAGAGAGATTATACATGTGCTGCGTAGATGCAGATGAAAAGAAAGAGGCGAATGGAGAAAGGGATGCACTATAAGCGGGATGGGTAGGTAAAGTGAGACGTAGATGCATTTCGAACAGAGGGTAAATAACCCAAGTGGAATAGCTGTTGAGGATTTAGGAGCTACAATCCCCCCTCCCTTTCCTTTTGCAGCTGCGTGAAACTGCCAAGCCTGCCTTGCAAGCTCAGAGTGGCTCTGCTGTCTAGTCCAGAGCTAACATCAGAGCGCCCCCTGCTGGCCAATAGAGCAGAACGCGGCGGGTCAGCCCCCTGTAAAGAGAATCATGTTTTTCTGCGCACCCCACGTTTCACTGACTCCTTCTACTGCCCCCACGTCCATTCTCCAGCAAAACCCCGCGGCAGGGGAATAGCTTGTCAAGTACTGAACATTTAAATGAATAAGTGATAAAAATAATAAAATGCGAAAGAACCCCCCCCCCCACACCTTCACTTGGCCTCTGGGGAATAAACCATCAAAAGCCTTAGCAAAGGGACACATTTCCTTTTTCTACATCTCTTTATTCTCTGGGTTTTCGCTATAGTTTGTTTTTCCTGCCGACCTGCATGTTCTGAGTCCAAGGAAATGTTTTTCATATATGCTGTAGACGTTTTAAAAATGGATATCTCATGGGGAAAGAGGCCAAATACAAAGCAATATTTTGTATCCTCACAAAATTAAACTTCCAGGAAACTCGCACTGTTTGAGGAAAGTCTTGAGGAATAGCTTGCGGAATTCAGAGGGTTCCTTGTCGAATGATGACCCTTTGCTTCAACGCAAAGCAATACCAGAACCTGTCCTAACCTTTTTTTTTTTTTAAAGCAGAAAACGTGTTGAAAAGTTGTTACCGTAGCTGACTACACACACACATACACACGCGCGCGCGCGCGCGCGCGCGGCTTTTCCACTCGTGTCTATTCTTTTTAGGGTCGTATTTCTTAATTTTGCTGGAGACGAAAAGGGTAGCTGACATGCACCAAGATAAACCGCCGATGTCTTTGACATTTGATCTTCCTATAGTGTTTCACGTCCAATGAAAGGTGTGAGGCTACTACTATCTGAGAGAATTTTGGTTCTTTTTCAACTGTTCGGTGCATAGAGGCATTTTCTTGGTTTCCCAGTTAATCTGCCGCGGGATTTATGAGCACCATGTAACGCGAGGGCGCACAGGTAACGAGAGCAGGAGCAATCTCGGGCTGGCGGCCGCACTGCCTGCACCGCCAGCCTCCCCTCTTGGGAAGGGCGCTGGCAACGCAGCCCTGACTTGGAAAAGTCTGCTGACCGCAACTAGACCCCCACATAAATAGTGTCAATCTGCATTGCGGAACGACTTTAGTTTCTAGGGGAGTTTTTGGTTTTGCTTTTCAAAGTCCCGGATTTCGGCATTTAGTTCAAACGGTGCTCAGAAATGAGGCGCGGGAGGAGGAACACTGGCAGGGAGGACAGCAGGGGAAAGGTGTGTCTCTGGACTTTCATTTCTTGCCAGAGTAGCAGGGCCCTCTGGTTTAAAAATCCATTATCCTTTTTCGCTTCTCCCACAATCCCTGTGTGTCACTCCTTCTCCAACCCCCACCCCCATCTTTGGAGACGCTCCGGGAGGCGACAGGGACCTGGCGACTGCATAGAACCAGCGCTCCTAGGGCAAGGCAGAGGTGGGACACGGCCCGGGTCTTCAGGTCAGTGAAGTGATGCCTCAGTCTGATAGTGTCTGAAGAATTGCTGGGCTATTGTGGCAACTGAGGTAAAGTTAAATATTTATACTCCAAGCTGTAATCATTTTGGGGGTCTGTTTTGAGGAAGTCCATTGGGTTCAAACTGACTCTAAATATAAATCCTGCTCTGGGGGAGCAGAACCTGCTGCCTGCCACTGGGGTTGACTTTTTAAAAGGTCCCTGTTAAGCTCACAAGTGGAAGGGAAGTTATCTGCAGACCATATGGGTCTATTCAAATATATGTATGTGGGTATAAATACAAAACATCTATATCTAGCTATCTATATATCTATACAAAGACAATAAGGTAATAAAGACAAGGAAGGAGGTGTCCCTCATAGCAGTTGAATCCAAATAAAACCATTTTTAGTAAGACACTCTCACATATAAAGGAAATGTGATCATCTCATTGTATGGTCTCTGTTTGACTTAATGAAATTTGGAGACATTGACAGTCTGATCAATGTTCTGAGTAAATTAATGTGAAGGTCCTTAGGTAAAGACGGAAAACACCCCTTGCCATTAATCTTAAACCACTTGAAGATTATGATTAAAAGAATGGGATCACTAAGCATTACCATCTCAAGTAGCTGTTAACTGCCCCCATCCCTTTATTGTGGCAACAAAATAAACTCTTCACTAAGAATGATGTTTCCTCCTTTTGTATCTTTGTTTTTGTTTCGCTTTAAGGGCAAAGAAGGGAAAACAGAAGCAAAGAAAACTGTTTCACAAACTCTTGGAATTGCTACTGTTAAAAGGCTGCATTTCACTTCTGATTTCCTCATCTGTTGCTACAAAGGAAAAAGAAATCCAATGATGTGTCTGCATTTGATGAGAAGAAAACACAACAGCAGTGTAGGTGTGTTTGTTTTCCTTTTTTCCTGGAAAAATATTTTTAATATTCACTAATTAGCGAGTTGAAAGCTGTGGAGATGTAAAAGATGTTCGCTTGTCCACATCTATTTGTTGACTTTCGTCACTTGAGTTTTGTAGGCTTTTGCACCAGATAGAAACTGAGAGAAAGAGAACTAGACACTTGCTGAGGAACAACAATATATACACTTTCAAGTAAGTCCATCCAATCCTGTATTTGAGTGCTGATAGGGAGGAGGAGGGGGTGCTATACTATTTTCCCCTAATAAATCCCAAAGCCGCATTATACAGAGAAAGAGGGGGTGAGAACTCTATGACTGAGAATTCTGACCAAAAAAAAAAAAAAAAAAAAAAGAAAGAAAGAAAAGAAATGGAAGCAGCACCTGTCTGCCCCTAGAACCCTAGGGAAGGATGCCCCCAAAATGTGCAAAAGGCGTTATGTTTTCTTTTAGAGTCCTGAGTTGGGTGAACCTTTCAGAGATGCACACAGTCATTAACATTTTTTAAAGCCAAATGCAGAAACGGAGGGCGGTGGCTAACAAACAGGAAAAATATGCTAAAAATTATTCTTGAAACACCGCGAATTTCCAGATGCCACAAAGAAAAAAAAAAAAAAAAAATGCAAACGCACCCGCTCCTAACTGAGCGGACAGGCAGTTCTCCCGCCGGGTGAGGTTTTCAGTTGAAAGTGGAAATGGAGATCCTAACTCCGCTAGAGCAATGGGAGATGTTACCCAGAGGCTTCGGGAGGGGAGGTAGCGGACGTCGCCCTCCTTCCAGCCCCGCAGTTCCCACCTGTTCCCACCGCCCCAAGCTGGGGCGCCGGAGAGGGTAGGAGCCGGAGCGATTCCGCCCACAGTCTCCGAGGGGTACCCGGCGCTACTGCTGCTCTTACCAAACCAAGAAGGAAACTCAGATAGGCCCCCAGAGGCCAAAGACCCCGCCAAAGGGACCGAAGCTCCCTGTCCAAGGCGTAAGCAACGGCCTGCCCTGCTCCCCGGCCAGGCTCCCGCGCCTGGGTGGACAAAAGGCTCACAGGCCACACTGGCCCGGGAGCAGCTGTGAAACGCGATGGCCGGGGACAGTCTCCCCGCCGAGCTCTGGGGTGTGTGCGCGCGCGCGTGTGTGAAACACGTGCACTCGGTGCGGGCCTCTGGCCGCAGACGTCACCTGGGGAAGTTCACCCCCGGGCTTCCCGGGCCCTGAACCCACTGTCCCCTCCCTGTCGCCTCAGCCGCCCCCACCTGCTACCCAAATCCCGGGGCACGCCCGGACAGGTGTGCAGCGTCTGACTGGAAAGCTCCCGGGAGAAGAGCCACCCCAGGAAAGCAGGCGGCGGGAGGAGGAGGAGGGACAGAGAAGAGACATGGTACTTTCAGAGCTCAGGCGTCCCTATCTTCCGAGAAACTGTCATCACACTCAATCTTTACACCCTGATCTACGGTATCCAAAAAGCAGACATTGATTCGCGGAAAAATCAGGTTCTCGAAAATACAGGGATTTGACACGGGCTCCTGAGACCTGCGCAGGCGTTGCTTAGGTTCAAAAGTATGATTTTAATTTTCTTAATGAAGGCGCGCTCTAGAGCTCAGCTGGTAATGGCTGTGTTGAGTTTAATAGACTTCTGTCGAACAGAAAAAGACGGATAAGTAATCTGCTCTAATGCAATTATTTTCCCAGGTTCGAAAGTCATTGCGCGGAGAGGGCAGGAGTGAATTAAGGCCCCGGGGACCGCGGACGCCGGGCCAAGAGACCGCCCGAAATATGAGCCGAACCTGTTTTGTGAGATGCACTTGGGTTTGGGGGTCAGGGTCGAAGGCTTCAAAGCCCTTGGTCTGCACGTGTGAAAAATCTCTCCCTCCCTCCCGCCCCTCCTCTTCCTCTCTTCTTCTCTTTTTCCCTGTTCCCTTTTCTCCTCACCTCTCCCAGAATTAATTTCCTCTCCCTTTCCTCTATTTTGCTTGTCTTTGTCTATTTCATGCTGACCCATTTAGTCCAAAGTATTTCTAGGAAAAATACACAGAAGTAGGCTCTTGGACTGTGCCAGCCCAATCACCTTTTGAAATCCGAGAGAATCGGGATGTTGAGAACTCGGTGTACACACATTGATAATGCACTGGGAGGGTTAGTTCTGTTCCAGTAATGGGCCAGTCCCGGACACTGTGCAAAAGTTTCAGCTTTAACACAAGTTATCATTCACAGTATTTATTTGGTATTGTCCAAAGTCTTCTCAGCTTCATTTGTTCAAACTCATCTCAGCTTCAAACTCTCCACTTTGCCAGGTGAACACAATCTCAAGCAAGCGTGATTCTAAAAAATAAAAACAACACAATTGGTAATTTCCCTCTTACAGGGGAAGCCAAATCGATGCAGAGAAAGCCCTTCATTCCCACCTGGAGGAAAGAGTTGGCGACAGGGCAAGCCGCCAGGCCAGAGGGGTGAGCACTGGCGTGGTGAGCACTGGCGTGGTGAGTGAGCATTGGCGTGGTGAGCGAGCACTGGGTGCTGGGCCCAGCACCCCTGAGCCCAGCTCTCTAGTGTGAACCTCTGTGCTCGGTCATTCCAGCCCCACTCTTCCGGACAGCCTCTCTCCCCGGTGCTGGCGAACAAAGAAAGTTCTTGGGACTGAGGCACAAAAGGGGTTAAATGAACCCCAAGCTGTAGGTGTGTCTATTCCAGACCCCTAGGTGAGGCGAAAGTCGCTGGGTCTGCAGCGCGTCTGAGCTCCACAAACTCACCAAACTGACCTGGTCTACGGTTCCTGAGCTTTCTAGACTCTCTTTCTCCCCCACCCCATTACCCACACACGCACACGGCTGCGGTGACCTAGGCACGTGTGCACACAAACATCCACAAAGCTATCTAATTGCTGCCTCCTCTTCTCTGACCCAATCCTAATCCCAGTCCTTCCTAACCGCACCCCGCCCCCCGCCCGTGCCCGCCCCCACAGCAGCCAGACTCACACAAAAGAGGGAAGAACATTAAAACAAGTAAAAATCTATTTGCAAAAAATCCTCAGATCCCCCTGGCTGAAGAGGAGCACAGCTGGCTCCCCCGAAGCAGGAAGTTGGGGTGCAGCAGGCCAGGGAGCGAGGCTCCTCCTGGCTCTGGGCCTGGTGGTGCCACCTCTCAGAGGGTGGGGCTGTGGTGAGTGGAAGGGGTGTTTCTCACCTTCCCCTTCCCCCATGCTCTTCCCGGGCTTTCGGGAATGGAGTTAGGAAGAGATCAGTCCTCAGGCCCCCACGACCCTCGGGACTGGGAGAAGCAGCGTAGGGCGGGCGCCTCCGAGATGCCTCAGTGCGACTGCCCCGGAGCCCACGACCGCCGGCCAGAAAGTCTGAGCCGGGGGCCGCCGCGTCGAGCTCCCGAAGCGCTCATCCTGGGGAGCCCTTTAAAGACAGAGAAGCTCGCTCCGCAGTGCTCAGGCCCAGCCCACTCTAGCAGCCTAGCTTTCGGGTGGCGCCGGGATGGAGGGCTGCCTCGGGCTCCAAAAGCAGATTTGGAATGCAGGAGAAAAGGTGACGGTCAGAGCCAGTCTCTCTCCCCTCTGTCTCTGTCTCTCCCATCCCCCTTTGCCATTCATAGATCTCTCTTCCCACGCCTTCGGAGGACACACCTACAGGAGCCGCGGTGTTGTTTTGGTGACCTGGAAGATCGATAGCAAGGACCCAGGAAGCACCCACAAGCTCTAAGTGGGTCTCATTTTGCTTTTGAAAGTAGTAGGAGAGGAGAGACTTGATTACCTAACCGTGAGTTTTCCAAGATGACCGCCACCCCCCGCCCACCCCTCAGCCAAGCAAAGTTGAGAAGGGTTTAACAGAGGGTGAGGACAAGTCAGTTCCCTCCTAGGCCCCTCGACACCCCTACAAGAAAGCCGAACAGAGCTCCCCCACCAGCTGAGAACTCCTGAAAAAGAGGCCTTAGGGTCCCCACCTGTGCCGCTTACCCTGATCACCAGAGCATCTGTGCTCTGGGTCCATTCTCATCCCGGAAGCAGCTGACAAGAGTAGGTCTGGGAAACACTTTGAGGCCCAGAGTCAGGCTTGCTTCTCTCTCATTTGCCTTCCTCTTTTAAATGTCAGTGGAGAAAAGCAGTTTTCCCTTTTTTTGCAGTAAATCAAATGTGTAATTGCATTCACATAGAATTAAAAAGTAAAATGTATCTTTTCTGCAACTGCACTTAGACATGTTTAAAGAGGGACTGCCCTGAACATAGGTTTTTAAAGAACAAAACAATTAAATATAAGTTTTAAAGATAAAGAACTCAAAGAGTGCCTGGTATCCGCTTCCACTGCCTTTACGTAATTTAGGTGGGTCTCAGGAATTTCGCAAGTGTCAGGAGTTCTTAAAACTAGCCAATATACAAAAATTACAGATAATTACATCTATTTTTTTTTCTTCTTCTCCTCCTTTTTTTTTTTTTTTTTTTTTTTTTTGGGTTTCACCATGTTGGTCAGGCTGGTCTTGAACTCCCAACCTCAGGTGATCCACCCACCTTGGCCTCCAAATTACAGGCGTGAGCCACTGCGCCCTGCCCAGATAATTACATATCTAAAGTAAGTTCCCCTCAAAGAAGTTAGAGGTGAATACCTAACTGCAGAGTTAAGCTTTTCCTGCTTCCTTATTTATCCAAGTCTCTTAATTGTAAAACAGATTAAAGAATCTGCTCAAAAGGGTTGATAATGCCCACCAAAACAGAGTGAAGACAGTTGTTCATGGTTTGAAGCTTATCCTTGGATCTTGGGACTTTTTGAATGTTTAAATGAAGCGTAAATAGAATAAGGTCAAGGGATTGACAAGATCAAGTTGCTTAGCTCAATTAGCAAAATTTTATTTCAAAATTATGTTCACTTTGATTTTCCTGCTTTGTTATAAATGATCTTAGAACATCCAATAGGAGCAGACAATTTACATTGTGTCCTATATACTGAGATTTATTTGTAAAATTATGTTGTGATGTCTATATACTTCCTTTAATGTTTTTATGGAAACCAAGTCTTTCTAATTAGATTTAGAAACACAGCGATCATGCTAATTCAAAGGCAGTCACTTTGAAGATAGAACGATCACCAAATTTTAACAATTTTCTAATCTAGCTCTAAATTTCTAAACTGCAGGCTGTTCGGAATCCGCTTTTCTGGATATTGGCATGCTGTTTTCAACGGCCAGCTATATTCAGTGGACATCTATCAAAATATTAGGTAAGAGTGCAATTTGTAAATATATATCCTGTAACTTATTTCTAACATGATTTCTCAAAATTATCCTATGCATTATTTAATAGATAACCAAACTCTTCACATTAAGGCTCATGCTGCCACATCTGGAAATGCTTCCTTTGCATTACCCATCACCACCCCTCACCCCACCCCAGCCACCAGTGAGAGAAATAGCTGAAGCCTCCCCTTCCACCATTATATGATAGCATCAGCTTTTAATCAGTGAGAGGCACTCCTATTTAAATTTACAGGATGACTCTTTATTTCATTTATCTTTTCTTTTGGAGGAAAGTGAAACAAGAGCACCACCCTTATTAATTATAAGATTGATGGGGTGAAAAAAGCCAAATGAATTTGGCTTGCAAATTATTAGTCTAGGTATGAATATTTATGACTGTGCCAGGAACTGTAGTCATGAACCCTGGGTATCAGGCATGGGAGACAGTCAGCCCAATGCATTCAATGAGGGTTCAGTCTCCCCAAATCTGACATGACATAAATGGAAACTTTGAAATTAAATCCAGAGTGGGCTCCCATTAAATCAATTTATTTTCTTTCTTTCTTTTTTTAAATTTTTTGGCTATCCTTGCTAAACATGAACTTGCTTCCAGTGGCTTCCTTTATAAGCTTTAAAAACCTTCTAAAGGGAAGGCAGACATCTATAAGTTTTGTGAAGAAAATTTTTGTTTTTCTCACTTGATATTCACTTATGTTTTAAAGCAAGTTTATCTGTGAAATATTTGTGACATGCATTTAAAAAATTTTTAAACTATTTTTATTCAGTGTAAAAATATTGGAAAACCAAAATATCCTGGGTATAGGAAGGATTTAAATAGACACAATTCAAGTTCGATGCAGAGAGAAATGAGAGAGGAAAGAAAACAGCAGTGGAAGAGATGAAAGGACAAGTTTTCTATTTCTTTGCTTGTTTTCCTTTTTATGCACCAGACTTACTCGTGCTTTTTCATCCCAAAGTGAGGAAATTTAAATGAAAGGTAGAGGCAGAAAGGGTCAAGGTAGAAAGGAAAGGGTCAAAACAAGGATTTAATAATTTAGTTAAAGACAAACTATATTCTCTTCTTTTCCTCCTCGTGATTATATATTTAAGAGTTGTGTGGTGCTTTGGAAAAGAGGCTGGGGGGTTTGAGATTTAACGAGCTCAAATACTGTCTCATCACCGGTTTTCTTTCTGTAAAAGAAATGTTGAGTGGGAGCTGACCCAATCCTGTGAAAATGGTTCATTCTGACATCAGAGCCAGCTTTGCACATACATTTTGAAAAGGAAGACAAGTTGTTTTCAAAACAGAAATGCTAAGCATTCTAAAAAGCATAAGCAATTTAAAAAATGCTCCTTGAATTTTCTGAAAAACTCCCAACTACATATATATATTTCACAATTGTAAGTGGATATTTGTGCTAAATTGATGCTTTATGTATATCCTGTCTCAATTTGTCTGTTCGCTGTAAAGATATAATTTTTTTAAGAAGCGATACCACTGACAACAATTTACTTAAATTCACAAACCTTGAAATTGATGCCTCTCCTATCAATCATATTCAGTAGATACAGTAAAACACATTCAACATTTGTATATCAATAGTGGCACACACACAAATCT